ATAGTCTACAGGAATTAGTAAGACACTTTTACTTTATTAGGGCAATGCTTTTCTTTAACACTTTATTTATTATTACTATTACATATTTTTAAAACTTTGCTATATGTCACATGCACTCACCAGAGAGAGACAGAGGGAAGGAAAATGAGAAAGCCTGTTCCAGGATTTGAACTGCAGTCAGCCATGTGGGAGTCCAGCGCTTTAACCACCACACCACCTGCTGGCCCCAGGGCAATGCTTTTGAATAGTGACCCACAGTTACAAATCCACCTTGTAGAGGAAGGTGCCTCATACGTATGTATATATGGACACACGTAGAAATTAAACAAAACTTCCCAAAACTTAGTGCAGTGCACTTTCGTGTTTCTATTCTATTTATTTTTTCCTTTCTGCACACTTTCTTTCTCTTACTTTCCCAAAGGGCACATGTGTTCACTAGAGGAACAGAGAGAAAGTGCGAAAGTACTGCCCATGGGGATGGTCATGCCATAGTCCCTTCTCCATGTCTCTCTCCTTTCTGAATTTGGGGCATGCAGGGACCAGCAGTTAGTGTAATGGCTATGTTGCTGGGCTCCCATGTAGTCGACCGTGGTTCAAGTCCCGGACGTGGTGGCTTAAACTCACGCCAGGCACGTGTACATGCGTGCCCAAGATCCTGAGAGGACAATGGAGAAGAAGGGATTGCGGCATGGCCATCCCCCTGGGGGGTGATTTCTCGCTTTCTGTCTCTCTGTCTCTCTCTGTCTTTCTGGCGAGCATACGTGCCCTACAGCAAAAACCTCTCAAGAAAAAAAGAAAAAGAAAAAAAAACCTACCCCCAAAAAAGAATTTGGTGCATTCACACATATCATGCCTGGCATGTTTCTGAAGCTGCTGGGTCCAGAACCTGAACCTTACAATCAGCATGCACCCTGTAACAGAAATCTCTCTCTCTTAAAAAGAAAAAAAAATGTTGAGTACATATGTGCCCAGGATCCTACCTGGATGGAGAAATGTGAGAAAGGGCTCATTGGGGCATGTTTCTCTCTGTCGCTCTGTCTCCTTCTTTACCTCTCTGTAGGTTCTTCGGGAAGTAAAGTAACTCCTTTTTTTACGGTTGTCATCATTAGGGACACAACAGAAAATTTTAATCTAACCCTTCTCTAATATGAATCATATTATTCTATTTATTCCTTTTTTAAAAAAATTATTTACTTATTTATTTATTTAATTCCATTTGTTATTATTTTTTAATTTGACCAGAGAGAGAGAGAAAGGGAAAGCAAGAAAGGAGGCCTCCAGGTCCAGGACTTGAACTGCAGTCGGCCACGTGGGAACCTAGTGCCTTTAACCACCACACCACCTTCCAGCCCTAAATTATTCTATTTTCTAAAGGAAAAAGACCGGGAAGTATTTTTAGCAATTTAAATACAAATAATGTGAGAGAGGGGTGAGCAGGTGGCATGGTGGTTAAGGCACTAGACTCCCACATGGCCAACCACAGCTCCAGCCCCAGACCTAGTGGCTTGAAAATCACACTGAACAAGTGTGTGTGCATGCCCCAAATCCTGAGTAGAGAATGGAGGAGAGGTGATTGTGGTGTGGCCAATCCCCAGGGAGTGATTTCTCACTTTCCCTCTCACTGTCTCTCTCTGGGGAGCACAGGTACCTAGTGTTAAAAACCTAGAATAAAGGACCAGCAGATGGTGTAGTGGTTATATCACTGGACTCCCACATGACTGACCAGGGTTCGAGTCCCAGACCCAGTGACTTAAAAAACCCACACCAGGCACGCGTGCACGCCCTTGTGTGTGTGTGTGCCCAAGATTCCAGGGGGATGATTTCTCACTTTCCTTCTTTCTCACTGTCTTTGTCTTTCTTCCTCTTCAGACAACACATGCGCCCTAAGGAAAAAACCTCTAAAAAAAAAAAAACTACTACTACTAATGATAATAATGTGGGAGGTTCAAAGGGATCAAACTTTCTATGTTTATGTGGCTTCAGGGTCTCTTCTCTGTGCACCCAGCTATTCTCAGCACTATCTTGCTTATCTGTCAGTACAAACTTAGCTCGAGATTGCCTCTCTCCTACATTTTGTTTGTTTGTTTAGATTTTTTTATAAGACACATGAGCTCTCCGGAGAGAGACAGAGGAAAAATGAGAAATCATTCCCTGGGGGGATGGCCACTCCACAGTCCCATCTCCTCCATTCTCCTCTTGGGATTTTGGGCACACATACCCAGTGTGGTCTTTTTTTTTTAATTATTTTTATTTTTTTTTTTGTAGAGGTTTATGCTATAGGGTGTGTGCGCTCACCAGAAAGACAGAGAGAGCGACAAAGAGATAGAAAGCAAGAAATCACCCCCCAGGGGGATGACCACGCTGCAATCCCTTCTCCTCCATTCACCTCTTGGGATCTTGGGCATGCACGCACATGCACCCGGTGTGAGTTTAAGCCACCGGGTCTGGGACTTGGACTGCCATCGACTACATGGGAGTTCAGCGACATAGCCATTACGCTAACTGCTGGTCCCTAAATTAATTTTTTAAATTAATTATTATTATTATTTGCTATAGGGTATGTGGGCTCATCAAAGAGAGACAGACAGATAGTGAGAAAGCAAGCTGCCAGGTATGGGACTCAAACCATGGTTGACAATGTGGGAGTCCAGTGCCTTAACTACCACACCACCTGCTGGCCTGCACCCAGTGTCGACCAGGTCTGGGATTTGAACTATAGAGTCTGCCATGTAGGATCCAGTGCCTTAACCATTGGATTAACCTTAACCTTCTGCCTGCTAGCCTCCCTTTTTTTTTTTTTTTAAGAGAGATTTTTGCTATAGGGTGTGTGCACTTGCCAGAGAGACAGAAAGCAAGAAATAATTTCTGGGGTGATGGCCACGCTGCAACCCACTCTCCTCCATTCTTCCCTTGGAAATTTGGACATTCAGGCACACATGCCTGGTGTGAGGCTTTTTGTTTGTTTGTTTGTTTTTTTGGAGAGGTTTTTGCTATAGGGCATGTACGCTTAGCAGAAAGACAGAGAGAGACAGAAAGCGAGAAATCATCCCCCAGGGGGGGATGGCCACGCCGCAATCCCTTCTCTTCCATTCTCCTCGCGCACGCACACACACCCAGCGTAAGTTTAAGCCACCGGGTCTGGGACTCAAACCACGGTCAACTACATGGGAGTCCAGTGACATAACCATGACGCCAACTGCTGGTCCCTGTCTAAACATTTTATTTTAATTTACATTTAATCATTGTACACTTTCACAGCATAAAATACGGTTTTACAAAGCATACATGCATTGCATGGCAATCAAGTCAAAGATACATCATCATCATCCAGATACACATCATCCTGGACAGATAACTTTTCCTTCTTATGTCTGCTAATTTCTTTTTTCCTGAGTCTCTCCCCACCTCCCTACATTTTTTAGGCACAGAGAAAAATACCTCATGTCCTGATCTGGGCTGGGATTAGTTATCTGAAGATGGTACCCAGCACTGCTCTGCCGGTTGAGATAAACTGAGAGCCAAACAGAGCCGACACCGTCCCCGGCCTGCCGCTCACAGAGGGCCAGCACCCCTGCCGCACCCACCCAGGAGCTGGTTAGAAACGCCTGCTGGGGGTCACAAGCCACATCTTAATGAGACCCCCGGTGGCGCCTGGGTACATGAGACTGTCCGACTCCTTGTGCCCCTGGTGTGGAAGCCGCAGCCACGGATGCCCTTTGTTCTGTTCATCTTCCAGCTGCCCGAGGCACGTGCATGTCAGCGGAAGCCAGCGCTGTGTGCTTCAGCCCTCCTCTCCCTGACACCCACCAGTGCTCACTGATGGTCTTTTCTGCTTAATTAGACCCTCAAAAATACATTCCAGTAAGCTTCTGGTTCAAATTCAGCATCTGTCAAAAACAGGCTTATTAGTTTGTGACTGCAACACAGTGCGTGGCCTGGAAAGTGTGCAGTTCGACATAGATCCTAGTGACCCATCACCGCAGTCAAGATAATAATCACATTCCTCGTCCACTAAGTTCTTCCCATGTCCCATTGAATCCTCCGCCATCCCCAGGCAACCACTAATTTGCTCCCTACCACTACCGGGTGACATTTTCTAGAATTTTATAGAAATGGAGAGATGTAGTATGGCCTCTTGTTTTGTGGCTTCTTTCATTCAGTGTGGTCATTTTGAGGTTTACGGTGGGCACTGTGTGTATCTGTAGTTCATTTCTTCTTACTGCGGAGTAGTACTCCATTCTTCAAACATAACCATTTATCTGTATGCTTGGCAAAAATGTGGGTTGTTCAGCTTTGGAAAGTTCTGGGCCAGCCCTTTCCTGATCCAAGATCAGCTGGGATTCCAGGAGCAGTCGAGCTGCCACCCTCTAGACCCCGGTTCTGCTGTGCCCAGCACTGTACATGGCAGAGGACCTGCCCGAGTGGAGGTGCTTGCTCTCCCAGAGGCGGTGGGCTGAAAGGATACACGGCCAGCTCTGGGAGCCATCACAGGAAGGAGTCGGTGGCTCTGTCTGAGAACAGACAGGCCTAGGATGAGATGACCTGTCAGGCCAGGAGGCAGCAGGAGCTCCTTTTACGCCTGTCTCTCTGCAGCCCTTGGAGAGCTCCTGCCTGGCCTTGCCCGTGTGTGTTCAGCCTCCTGATGGGCCCTGGAGGCAGGCAGTTCAGCGCTGTGTCCTGCTGGGGCCCAAAGCCTGCCTGCGTCCAGCCGAGCCTTTTCTCAGTCCTAAAATAAAGGAACAGCAGATGGTATAGTGGTTACATCACTGGGCTCCCACGTGACCGACCAGGGCTGGAGGAGGAGAGCGTGTTGGTGTGTGTCTAGGATGCAGGTTTGCATCAGTGTTGTGTTCCTGGACAGGCAGGGTGATTCTGGTGAGAGAAGTAGTTTCTGGCATTGGCCCACAATGAGCTTGTCCCTTTTGTGCCTGCTGCAGGCTTGTGTCTGGTGTAGGAAATGAGAATTCCTCTAATACTGGGACATGCTTTCTGTTTTCCAGGCACTCCTAGCAGGCATGAGGAACCGCGAGAACAGCTCACCCTGCCAGGGCAATGGAGAGCCAGCCAGCAGGGCCAGGAACTCCGGCTCCATGTGGCCAGGCGAGGAGGAACCCTGCAACGACACCACCACGGCTTCCTACAAGAAGCCCCTCTACAGCATCTCACACAAGATCATGGAGAAGAAGAACCCTCCCGCAGGTGACCTGCTCAACACCTATGAGCTCTTAGAGAAGACAAACGCCAGCAGCAGCCCCTCGCCACTGCGGCTCCTGAACGAGCCACAGAAGCGAGACTGCAGCAGCTCTGGGACCACAGACGGCGACCCCAACATCTACTTCCTGATCCAGAAGATGTTCTACATGCTCAACACACTCACATCCAACATGTCCCAGCTGCACAGCAAGGTGGACTTGCTGTCTTTGGAGGTGAGCCGCATCAAGAAGCAGGTAAGCCCCTCGGAGATGGTGGCCAAGTTCCAGCCACCGCCTGAGTATCAGCTCACGGCCGCCGAGCTCAAGCAGATAGTGGACCAGAGCCTGTCAGGCGGTGACCTGGCCTGCCGCCTGCTGGTGCAGCTCTTCCCCGAACTCTTTAGCGACGTGGACTTCTCCCGGGGCTGCAGCGCCTGCGGTTTCGCAGCCAAGCGGAAGCTGGAGTCCCTGCACCTGCAGCTCATCCGCAACTACGTGGAGGTCTACTACCCCTCGGTGAAGGACACGGCTGTGTGGCAGGCTGAGTGCTTGCCGCAGCTCAATGACTTCTTCAGCCGCTTCTGGGCTCAGCGGGAGATGGAGGACAGCCAGCCGGGGGGCCAGGTCCCCAGCTTCTTTGAGGCTGAGCCAGTGGACACTGGCCACTTCCTGGACAACAAAGACCAAGAAGAGGCCCTATCTCTGGACCGGAGCAGCACCATTGCCTCAGACCACGTGGTGGATACGCAGGACCTCACTGAATTCCTGGATGAAGCCTCTTCACCTGGGGAGTTTGCCGTTTTCCTCCTCCACCGCCTCTTCCCTGAGCTCTTCGACCACAGGAAGCTGGGCGAGCAGTACAGCTGCTACGGGGACGGCAGCAAGCAGGAGCTGGACCCGCAGAGGCTGCAGATCATCCGCAACTACACAGAAATCTACTTCCCCGACATGCAGGAGGAGGAGGCCTGGCTGCAGCAGTGCGCCCAGCGCCTCAACGACGAGCTGGAGGGCCTGGGGCTGGACGCGGGCAGCGAGGGCGAGCCGCCCCGCGACGACTGCTACGACTCCTCCAGCCTGCCCGATGACATCTCGGTGGTCAAGGTAGAAGACAGCTTTGAGGGGGAGCGGCCCGGCCGGCGCTCCAAGAAGATCTGGCTAGTGCCCATTGACTTTGACAAGCTGGAGATCCCGCAGCCCGACTTCGAGGTGCCAGGGGCCGACTGCCTGCTCAGCAAGGAGCAGCTGCGCAGCATCTACGAGAGCAGCCTGTCCATCGGCAACTTTGCCTCCCGCCTGCTGGTGCACCTCTTCCCCGAGCTCTTCACTCACGAGAACCTGCGCAAACAGTACAACTGCAGCGGCTCCCTGGGCAAGAAGCAGCTGGACCCAGCCCGCATTAAGCTGATCCGCCACTACGTGCAGCTGCTCTACCCCCGGGCCAAAAACGACCGTGTCTGGACTCTCGAGTTCGTGGGCAAACTGGACGAGCGCTGCCGGCGCCGGGACACGGAGCAGAGGCGCTCCTACCAGCAGCAGCGCAAGGTCCACGTGCCAGGCCCGGAGTGCAGAGACCTGGCAAGCTATGCAGTCAATCCCGAGAGGTTCCGAGAGGAGTTTGAGGGGCCTCCCCTACCCCCTGAAAGGAGCAGCAAGGACTTCTGCAAGATCCCCCTGGACGAGCTGGTGGTGCCCTCGCCCGACTTCCCGGTGCCTTCCCCCTACCTGCTGTCAGACAAGGAGGTGCGCGAGATCGTGCAGCAGAGCCTCTCCGTGGGCAACTTCGCCGCCCGCCTCCTCGTCAGGCTCTTCCCCGAACTCTTCACCCCCGAGAACCTCCGGCTGCAGTACAACCACTCTGGGGCTTGCAACAAGAAGCAGCTGGACCCCACGCGGCTGAGGCTCATCCGCCACTACGTGGAGGCCGTCTACCCCGTGGAGAAGATGGAGGAGGTGTGGCACTACGAATGTATCCCCAGCATCGACGAGAGATGTCGCCGTCCCAACAGGAAGAAATGCGACATCCTCAAGAAAGCCAAGAAAGTGGAGAAGTGACAGGCCCGTGGGCCGCCCAGAGACTTGTGGCCACCAGAGGTTGCACAGTGGGCACCCAGCCGTGGATGGTCTCCACTGACGGGCACCTTCTGTCAGTGGGGAGTGGCTCACTACATTTGCACACGTAAACCCCCACCCAGCCACGAGAAAGAAGCCTTGAGTTTGGTCTCTTGTACTCATGACTTTTGTCCTGTGTTCCCTGGCAGGGTAGCGAGTCTGGGCAGAGCTGCGCTATGAAGCTTGCACAGTGGGCACCCAGCCGTGGATGGTCTCCACTGACGGGCACCTTCTGTCAGTGGGGAGTGGCTCACTACATTTGCACACGTAAACCCCCACCCAGCCACGAGAAAGAAGCCTTGAGTTTGGTCTCTTGTACTCATGACTTTTGTCCTGTGTTCCCTGGCAGGGTAGCGAGTCTGGGCAGAGCTGCGCTATGAGAGAGGGACCGAGGCCCAGGAGCCTCTCTCCCACCTGTGTCATCCCCCTGTCCCCTGCAGCCAAAATGCACATTTAGCAACTTGCGTTCCTCTTCCCACATTTTACATCTTCCATTTTTCTTTTTTTTTTTTTAATTAAAAAGAAACCCTTTAAACAATTTGATTGGGCTCTTTGGGGGCCGTTTTACTTAGAAAAATCTTTTTAAATATTTGAGATGAAGTACTGTAAGATGACATTAGTTGTTCCTTTTTTAATTTTAAGATGGTTTCAGATTTATGAAATTTTACAAGTGCCATGTTCACGTATGATGGCTAAATCGTAGTGCAGATGGCATTGAGACCGACTTTACTGACCTTGTCTTTTACTTCTGACGTGGGAAGAGTCAGGATGCCCCTTGGGTGGCTGTAGAGAGGGGATGGCATAGTGTGAAGGCCCTTCTGGCCGTGTTCCCAGATCCCTTCCCCTGAGCCGCCCAGGGAAGGCTCATGTGTAGCTCAGCCCGTCCGTTGCTGAGTTGGTAGAATGTCGTGAGCACTCTGTGTAGACGACAACACTGGATGAAGATGATATGAATGTAGACAGATGTGGAGACAAGTTTACATGTCTTGGTTTGGACTGTGTCCTTCCTCGGCCCCCATTCCCTCTCCACGTGGGTGCTGGTTGGAGGGGCAAACCCGCTCCTTTGAAAACTGTGGGCATTTGGCTTCTCGTTTGATGTGAGGGAGGGCCCCTTTGGGCTCGCCAAGAACTGTTTACTTTCTGTGTGTATTTGTACAAAGCCAGGTCCCAGGAGCTGTGGGCGACTCCCCCAGACCTCAGTGTTTGCGCCTCCAGGCAGCAGCACGTTCTTGTTCCTCAGGGCAGGCCTGGGTCTCGAGCCCTCCTAGAATACCTGGCATTGGAGGGACACAGGTCATCTCTGGTGGGGCCCCATGTCCCTTCCCAGAGTCCACTCAGAACTTTTCCCTCGGGTTCCCAGTGATTGGGAAGGTCACATTGCCCCAGGCCAACTGTATGCTTTCCAGGGGCACCAGCTGGAAACTCCTTAAAAACCATACTCATACCTCCCAAACTTTGGGGGCCAAAATGCCCAAGAGGGAAAAGAAACGGTCCAACCCAAACTGACACCTGGAAAATTAGTGGAATCACACAGGGTAGTACTGAAACCCTTGTGGGACGTTACAGATTTAATAACGTAATAGCTTAATATTTTGCTACCTTAAAATGCAGAAATAATAGAAACAATCTGTGAATCTTCCTCATATAGCTGATAACAACTTCGGTCCCAGTGGCTGGATGACATAACTTTGCCTGTACTCAGTGGGCATTTTTTTTTTAAACATAACATAGGATTTTAAGCATCATTAAGTTCATGACTGAAGTTTAGTAAACACACTTTTAAATGTCATTGACAATGTCATTGACACATGACTTCTGCAGAAACTACAAACCTAAGTTATTGAAATCTAGAGCTGTGCAAAGACTTGACTGTCGCACATACCCACTCCTACCCACACAGGCACACAAACCCCAATTACTAAAACGTGAGTGAGGTGAAAGAGGCCCCCGCGAACAGCACGTTCGACTTCTTTTTGCCTGGAAAGAAGACTGGAGCATCCGGGAGACTCACTGTCCCCCCTCACTCGGGCCTTTCTCTATGCCTTAGTCTCTCCAGCACAGACACACATATGCACACACGCACACACCCGACCCAAAGATCTCTGGCACTCTCCCGCCCGCCCCCGCTGGCTGAGAGTGGGGGCTCCTGTGGAATTTGATCTCTAGGATGTATCCAGGAGGATTCCAAGCCATGTGAAAATTGCCCTGCTTTCTAGAGGGTGGAATGTGACCCTGCGATTTCAGAAGCACAATCATTTATTAATCTTTTTTTTTTTTTTTTAAGTTTTTAACAACCCACATGAGAGAATCACTCGGGCCTTTCTCTATGCCTTAGTCTCTCCAGCACAGACACACATATGCACACACGCACACACCCGACCCAAAGATCTCTGGCACTCTCCCGCCCGCCCCCGCTGGCTGAGAGTGGGGGCTCCTGTGGAATTTGATCTCTAGGATGTATCCAGGAGGATTCCAAGCCATGTGAAAATTGCCCTGCTTTCTAGAGGGTGGAATGTGACCCTGCGATTTCAGAAGCACAATCATTTATTAATCTTTTTTTTTTTTTTTAAGTTTTTATCTACCCACATGAGAGAAATCAACAGGTTCTTGGAAGTCAGCCTGTCTCTTCGTAAACTAGAGCCTGTTAACTCTCTGGAAACTGTTTTGGTGGTTGCCCTCACACCTTTTCTGAGCAGGGCACCTTCCCCCACAGTCTGAGGGTCCCTTTCTGTGAAGAGAAGTGGCACACCCTGGGTGCCAGGTCCTGTCCCTCTGCACTGCCATCAGGAAATGCCTGCAGGTCCTGTGTTCTGTATGGCGTCCTCACTTCTCTAGCCGTACAGGTGGTTCCAGTGGGCGGTTTTTTACACAAAGCAATAGAAGTACAAAATACTTTTTTTATACTTTTTTTTTCAAGATATAATGTGTTCCATAAAATCTGTTGGCACTCCCTTCCCTACCATCCAAATTCCTTGATTTTTCCTTGTTTGTTTTTGAATTTTTTTTTTTTTTTTTTTTTTTGTCCTTGTATCCCAAGGACTAAAGAATTAGCACAGACACATTCTGAGGTTGAGATAGTACATCACTCTAGGTGGTAGTGTTCATTGTTTTCTGATAGTCCGTTTCGAAAGAATGTATGGAGCTAGTCCTGAATGTACTGAGTGTTCGAGTCCTGCTTCAGTTCCCTTCGGCTGTGTCTTCGTGACAACGTTTGACAGGGAATAAAGTCTTGTCTAGTGTCCTTAGTACTAGTGTGCCCCTCCCCCATCACCGTTGGCCCCAACCTTCCTTTCCTTTTAAGTTTGGGGGAGGGGAGACCACATCATAGCAATCATCACAACCAATGGGATCTACTTAGCGGCGTTTAAATGGTAGGAGCCCCCCATAGAGATAGCCTCACTTCCTACCTTTCCCCCAGCGTCCGCTGCTTGCCCAGTGGAGAGGAGCTGGCAGCTCCTGGGTGAGGTGCCTGGGGCGCCCCCGTGCCTGGCTGTGTAGATAGACTGTAGGTAGGCAGTGGGGGTGGGGGCCAGGGGCTGTTCCTGCTGGGGGAATCACTCTGTAGATCCAGCCTTAATGTTTTTCTGACATCCTAGAGCTAGCAGACTGCGCAAAGTGGGTATCAGAGTTAATACTGTGAGGAGACAAAAGGATGAGGATCGTTTTACCAAAGATAATGAAATACCACATAATGTCTGCATTTACCATTGATTCGAGTGCATCCTTAGAAACTGAATGTAACAAAAACCCAGGACATTTTTGGAAATTGTATGCTCTCTAGCAACTTTGTGTGAATTTTTATACAAGCACTGTTTTATGAGTTATATAAAATGTTATAAAAATAGAAAAAAAAAAAGGTTCATCACATCTTATTTTCTTAGAGTACCGGTGTCTCAGAATGTGTCTTGGCCTACCCATCCTTCTGGGGCCCCCTCGTCCCCCTCCAGGGGAGAACATGGTCATCTGGGGAGTTCAGCCTCCTGGGCTTCCGCACTCTGGGTATCTGGGATACAGCTCTTGGGGATGCAGCTCGGCCACAGCTGAATGACCAGGAAGTCGCCAAACGAACCCTCCAAGTCTACACGAACGGCTTCCTGGCCCTGCAGTGGAGGGGCTCCCCTGCTCAGGTGCCAGACCAGCCCTGCCAAGCAGGCAGAGCTCAATGGCACTTGAACCCCTTTGTTCCCCACATGGACCAAATGGGATTTAGAAATATTCCTCAAAGCGAAGGTGGTGGTAGCTGGTCATGAAAAGATGCATGTTTTTCTCACCTTCTCTTTCCCTTTTTAATTACAAGTCATTAACCTTAACTATTATTTCATAGTTAAAAGCAATGACTCAAACTGTCAGAGAAAAAAATTATTTTGGCCCGGGATCACAAGATAGTAAGTAAGTTGTGGCTTGTGATTGGAACAGTTTGTTTTTGTATGTTTCTTTTTTTCTTTTTTTGCTATATGGCACATGTGCTTGCCAGCAAGAGAGAGATAGAAGTCATCCCCCAGGAGGGATGGCTTTGGCACAGTCCCTTCTCTGTATTCCTCCTGGGATTTTGGGCATGCATGCACACATACCTGGTGTAATTTTCAAGCTGCTAGGTCCAAGACTTGAACCATGAAACTGGCTATGTGAGATCTAGGGCCTTTATCTCCATGCCACCTGCTGACCCTGGCATTTTATTTATTTATTTATTTATTTATTTATTTATTTAATGAGCATTCATTTATTTCTGACTTGATAACCCTAAAATCTACAACTGACCTGTCAGTGCTGTAAGCCTCAGGCCAGTCCTGGTGGGGGACTGGAGCCCCAGATGCTAAATCAGTTGTGAACTTGGGCAAGAAACCTACTTGACTAACAACCTAGTGGCTTGCTTAAAGCCAGTTTAAGCAAGAATTGAAGACAGGCTTTTCTCTAAGCCCTTTCTGGCTGTGGTTAAGTATCTTTGTTTTCTACCTAAAAGAAAATTCACAGAGAATTTCAATAAATGAGGATATACTTACCTGATTCTCAGAAATAAGACCACAGCAATTTAATTATCATCGGGTTGGTGAGCTTCACTGGACTCTAAGGGAGCGTCCTGATACGTGTGAAAGCCCTGGCCGTTAGTGGGCAGAAGGACCTTTGTAGTCTGCTGGCTGAAACGGCACTCAGCATTCACTGAGTACCTGC